TCATTGGGCTATCCACCTGGCCTTAATTATGCCCCCAACATGTTCTTTTAAACTCACCCATTTGTTCAATCATGCCATATTATCAAGAGAGTGAGGATTTAACAGTAAACCAAACTAAAATTTTAAAAAAGTTGGTCACTTACAGTTTGCATAACAATATCGTTGCTTTAATAGTTCTAAAAATTAATACCAAGTTAAGAATTCTACATCACATCTACACATTCAATGCTGCTATTCAATATGTAATAATCGAATCAATGATATTTGGATTTCTATTTTAAAATTATCCTCCATTTATAAGATAGACATAAATTTAATTTATTATTAAACTCAAGTTAAAATAATCAAAATATGAAAATTCAAATATCAAATAACAAAGAAAGTAGTTACATGAAAGTTAGTGGGCTAGCTAACAGTTGTGGAAAAGTCATATGATTTTTAGATTTCAGGTTTTCAGATTTTTTACTTAAAAAGACACAAAAGATTTCTTTAGCGCAATTGGTAATGGTTGTTGTCTTAGTTTGGAAAGACCATGGTTCGAATCCCGAGTTTGATGTATTTTTTCTTATGAATAAAAAATAAATAATGATTGTGAAGGCACAATCACCCTTCCTACTTTCGCTCTCATTGCAGGAAATTTGAAAAATTCGAAATGGGGATTGTAGTTTTTTCATTCGACTTTAAAGGAATGGGTTTTGTTTAATTAAAAGCATGATAACAAATATGATTTAGTCTGATTGGTTAAGTGCTCCTTTATTTGAGTGACCAGAGTTCGAATCTTACTAATGCACTTGTTAAACATGTAAACAAATGAGGTGCAATTACTAAATAGACCTTTCTAGAATCGCTCTCAGGGCACGAAATTTGAAATGGAGGTGGCGGTTTTACTTTTCATCTATTATAAATAGTGTAGAGATGTAGATAGATGAAGTAGCCAGAGAACTAGTATGTGAGGACCGTCTATTGTGCTTTGATAACACGTAGAAAACAATGTTTTAGAATTCATTATTATGGTTAGAATTGCATGACTTTCACATTCTTAGCAACATAATCACTTGCATTTGCTTGATAATTACTCAATGTGCGTTTATTAGCTCTAAGACTGTTTTCACCAATTTTGATACGCTTTTTGTAAAGTTTCATGTGTTTTTAGGATAAAGCATTTTAGAGGACCACCTTGTTGTTTAATCACTCTAAATATTAAAAAAAACTACCTTTTCATAAGCTCAACATGCCTTAAATAAGGTTGGGGTCACGACGAGAAGGTGCTTGAGACATCCCCGTAGTGGGTACTATATAAGTGACTGAAGTACAAAGAAGGAAACGAATTGGTTGCGATAGAAGCATGCATTTAGTGGATTGGTGGATTATCGCCTCGTAAATCTGTCAATTCAATTTACAACTCATGATTTCTTTTACGGGTAATCAAATTTTACTAAACTTGGGTGGAGAACTCAATTCAAGAACCTGGCAAAATGAAGTATACTAGTATTGAGGATTATCTTCGAACTGAGAAAATACCATACACTACTGTTGTATCATTTTCAAACTTCCTTGGAACATATTATAAGCATACATACAATTGAAAAACTAATGACTACGACTCTACGAGTCTCTTTATCCTTCCCACACAAGACAGAACTATCATCAGTACTTTGTTCTTTAATAACATGCCAGCTTCTAGTACTATGCTTGGGGATCAATTTTATGAATAAGGTGTATATGGATGATGGATCTAATGAAGTTGGATTAATTTAATTGGATTTAAATAATTATATTGAATTCATGGATTGAATGTAATTTGACAATCGAATATACCTCTTGTAAATAGATCGTCTAGAATAAAAATTCCAAATGATTCACATTTCCTATGGTCCTGTTCATTTCTATTTCCCTTTTCTGTTTCTAGTTTCCATTTCAAAAACCCGAAAACAAAAATAAGAAAACATGTTTATTTTTCATTGTACTTTTAGTTTGTTTATAACTTCGAAAGCATAAACTTACAGCTTCATGTTGTTTCCACCACTTTTTCATATATATTTTCTCGTATTTTTAACGAGTCACTTAAATGGATACGATGAAATATTCTATTGAATTATATCAAACAATGTGTTGTTGTCAAATAATATGTTATACTTGGAGTCACAAGAAATGTAAGCGTTTATATAGTTTCTTCTCTAATGAAATAAAACTCTATATTTTCTTCTTTTCATATGTAATAATACATTTATTTCATCATTTTTCTATTAGGTATATCATTCAGAATTTTATTTACTTTAATTTCAAACAATCTATCTTTATTATGCCGTCACAACCACAACAAGAAAAGGAAAATGCAAGTGAACAAGTTTGGTAAGGGAGTGGACGAGTGGTGGATGTTTTTAGGGGCTTGGTTATGATTTTTTTTTTTTTTTTACAAAAGATAATTTTCATTGATCGAAAAAAAGATAGTTACATCCTTAAGAGCAGCAGGCCTGGAAATCGAAGAAACGACTTGCAGTCGGGTACAAAGAGAGGGACTTACGAGCCACCAAGTGGGCTACCCTATTACTACGCCGACCTACGCCGACCTACAAGTGATGAATAATTTCAGCAAGAATAGCACCAATCCGACTATCACTAGCATCCGCCTGGTTGATTTTGTCAATAATGACCTTAGCATCTCCCTCAAAACACACTTCCATGATCCCCCCCGATTCAGGCACCACATGACAGCTTCGCGTAGCACCAACACCTCCACAACCATGGGATCATCAATGCCCGGGAACTGAAACCCAGCAGCCATAAGGACCCCTCTAGCTGGGGTCATAATAACAATCCCGCCAGCTGAGTGGGATCCCTTCCTCGTAGCCCCATCCCCACATATAAACTAGCCCAGCAGCCTCAACCTGAGTCGGTTGAGGTGGGGGAATGATTGAGGAGGGCGAGCACCGATCGACAAGCACCCCAACCCATTCCTCATACTGCTGGTTGTACTGACGCATCAGAGCAGGGATCCCAAACTGCTTGCCTTCAAAGACAACCCAGTTACGAGAACGCCAGATTCTCCAAAGGACAGCAACAACCGCCATGAGTAAGGATGACTGATTTAAAAGAGACATTAACCGCTTAAGAAACAGAGGGAAAGTGTGCTGAGGCAACCCTTTGCGCAGGGAAGCCAGCCCCGAATAGTGCTAGAGTGCCCGAGCCACCGGACAATAGAGGAATAAATGCTCCAAAGTTTCTGACTCGGCCCAGCAAACCGGACACCTAGGTAAAACCGGAACATCTTTGGAAATGAGAGCTTCTGTCGTAGGAAGCAAGCGATTTAGAATTTGCCAAACAAACACCTTCAATTTAGGGGGCATGTGAGCCTCCCACAACCTGATCCAACTAGCCTTGTCCATCCAGCTAACTTCTGACCTCCAATGATCCTTCCGTCTATCAAGGGTGACACCTAAATGATAGGCCGACTTCACAGTGAATATGCCCTCTGGTGTGTTATGCCAAATCAGCTTATCCTCCACCGGAAGCCGCAGAAGGGGGATGGCTTTAATGGCCGCACATGTAGGAGGGTCGAACCACTGACTCAATTTCTGGTCACACCACCGCCCCCCCTTATGGACTGATCACCTCATCAACCACCGGACCCCCCTCCACTGGTAAGACCTGGGGGTTATACCTGGGAGGATCAAGCTGCAAGTGAGGAATCCAATTAGAGTGGAGTAGTGAAGCCGACTGCCCATTCTCAATTTTCCATCGGAGCCCTACCTCTAATAACTGACGACCATACAGAATATTCTGTCACCCCCACGAGGGGCGAGATCTCGCTGTGGCCGAGAGGAAAGACCCATTCGGAAAATACTTCCCTTTAAAGACTTGCGCTAAGAGGGACTAGGGCTCCTGAAGGAGGCGCCAACCAATTTTAGCCAAAAGCGCCTGGTTAAAATGTTCAAACCGACGAAACCCCATACCTCCATCATGTTTACTCCGACACATATTCCTCCATGACATCCACCGAATTCTTGAATGGTCCTCCTCAGCGCCCCACCAGAATCGTGCCACATGTTTATCTAGTAAGCGACACAATGAGAGAGGCAGTCTGAAGCAGGACATCACATGCAACGGAAGTGCCATGGCAATGGACTTGATTAGGGTTTCCTTAGCCGCCCAGGATAGCGTTCTCCGTTTCCATCCTTGGAGGCGATCAAGCAGTTTTTCCTCCAAATACCGGAAGGTATCCATCTTAGACCGAGCAATCAGCGTAGGCAGACCCAGGTACTTATCATGAACCCCAACCGCCCCAACTCCTAGAACCACAGCCAAGAATTCTTGGTCTGGCAAAACAATGTTTCGACTAAAGCAAACAGTCGACTTCTCCAAGTTCACTCTCTTGCCACTGAGTTCCTCATACTCATTCAGAACCTCGATTAAGTTCTCACACTCCTGGAGAGACCCACGCAGGAACAAGTACGAATCATCAGCAAAGAACATATGCGATATCTGTGGGGCCCGAAGAGCAACTTTGATTCCCCCAAGCTTATCATCAGCAATAGCCTGCCGAAGAAGCGCGACAAACCCCTCCGTACAGAGCACAAACAAGAGCGGGGACAACGGATCCCCTTGGCGGAGGCCTCTAGAGGGGGAGAAGTAGCCCGAAGGGGTGTCATTCATTAACACGGAGAAAGACGAGGACCGAAGGTATTCTTGTATCCATCCCCGCCAGGTAGAGTTAAATTCTATTTTTTCCGAGACAGCGAGAAGAAAGGACCATTCAACTCTATCATAGGCTTTTTCCATATCAACCTTTAGAGCCATGTACCATTTCTTACCACGTGTCATAATTTTCAAATAGTGCATTAACTCACGACCAAGGAGGATATTCTCGATAATTTGCCGGTCACGAATAAAAGCATTTTGACCTTCCGTTACGATTTGAGGTAGAAAACTCGCAAGTCTCTTAGTCATGTTCTTAGTAATGATCTTATACACAAACTTGCACTATTTGAAAATTATCATCATTATGAACAGTCGTGGGCCAGCCATGAAACCCGAGCCCATCATCATGATTCATGATATTAATTTACCCCCACAAAACAAAATCATACTCTGTTCGTCTTCTAGTGCTTGGAAGTTGGACCTTCAAATCACGCCAATGCCATCCAATTGGGTCGCTGAATGTGTAGGACTGCATTTCTGGCACCACGTCACACTTCACACTGCAGGCAGGACAGTAGGCAACAATAGCCAGCCTCCTCAGCTTGCTTGCTCTCAGAGTCAGAACGTTGATCCGAAAGGAAATTTCTGGTCTGGACAGCCTCTCGTCACTTTTCAAATCAACTTCCCTATGTCCTACTAGTTATTTGTTTCTCAGTCGTTGATGCTTTGCCCAATTTGCCAGCCCATCCTCCGTGCCGTGTTGATGGAAAACCCACTCAGGTTTGCTTAGCGTTTGTTTCAGAAACGCGAGAAAGAAAAGAGCAGCAGCAGCACATGCAGCAAAGCTCTCATTTTCCGTTTTCGGAAAGATATGCTTTGCTTTGGTTTTTGTTTGGTAGTAGGCAGTTACTAGGTTGGTGAAAGAAAGAAAGAAATACTCCCAATCTCTTCATTTTCAGGCCGGAACGAAAAAATAGCGCCAGATAAAATACATGGCACCAGCATGAATTGACAAGTACGCCCTCCAACGAGCTGGGGTAAATGATTCTGTTTGATCTGGTAAAATCGTCATTTCGCGCATTCCTCTCTCTTCTCTAAACGCACCCTGCTCTGTTCTTACTTCTTAGGCACAGAGCACTGAGCAGAATTATGCAGGAGGCAGGATCGTACCATTCCCTTCTCATCCCTTTTTGTCCCTTTCCGATGACGACCCAGTTTTGAATCCATTTCCCCCATCCATTTTCATCTTCTTCCCTCCTTCCAGCTTTCACAAATCAAACGCAATCAGGTACCAGTTTTCCAGCCTCGGCCTAGCCCTTCTTCTTGGTCCATCCATGGCGTCACTTAGCTGGTCGTTGTTGACCGCCCGTTAAGATCGCTGCATTTTCTGTTATACCCACAAGCATTTTCTGTCCGTCCATAATGTTCAAATTGTTTTTATGTATTTTGTTGCAGCTGATGGTTTTGGTTCATTTCATTGCTTCTGCTTTCTATGGTGGGAAAACTAAAGAATGCTGAAATTTCCTTATGACTTGGAGCTTACTACATCTCTTGATATGACTAGTTTCTGTTTACTTCAGGGTTGGTTGACACTCTAGGTGAAGAAAAGGAGATGGGTGGCCATTCCCATATGAATTGCTGGGAAGATGCGTGCTACAGAGAAGCGAAGAATCAGAAACTGGAAATCGAAGACCCAGATGCTGGTTGCCCTGGATCAGATGATGGATGGAACTCTGCAGCAAAACCCAACTCCGACCTTGTCCTGGATCCAACTGACCAAGGGGAGAAGATCGTCTTTCCATGGATGGGGCTGGTTGCAAACATCAAAACTGTAGTTAAAAATGGAAAACCGGTGGGTGAAAGTGGCTCAAAACTCAGGGACGAGTTCATACGAAAAGGCTACAATCCAATGAGGGTGCATGCTTTATGGGACTGGAAAGGTCACTCAGGGTTCGCCATTGTTGAGTTCAAGAAGAGCTGGGAAGGATACAGGGACGCCCTCAAGTTTGACAAGGATTTTGCGCTCATGGGATGTGGGAAGGCTGATGATTTCAGCTCTTTAGTGAAGCATGAAGAGAGACTCTTTGGCTGGATTGCTCGAGATGATGAGTATCAATCCACTGATGTTATTGGGGCCTACCTCAGAAAGAAAACGGACTTAAAGAGCCTCTCAGACATTGTAGCAGATGGTGAAAGGAAGGATTCAAAACTTGTGTCCTCCCTACAAGACGAGCTGACCGTTAAGCATGGGCACCTTATGGAGATGGAGACCAAGTATAAAGAAGCTTCGGTGTCGATCATTGAGTTGGTTTCTCAAAAGGATGCTATGATTGTGTCATACAATGAAGGTCTGATCCATTCTTACGAAGTTCTGTCTCCTTTCTTTTATGCAATTGCTTAGTTGCTTTCTTTTGGGGGGGGGGGGGGGTTTGTTGAAACAGAGATCAGGAAGATGCAGCAAATTGTGCATAATGATTTCAACAAGATACTTGTGGAGCACCAGAGAGCTAAGCACGAATTGGAAGCTCGAAGAACAGAATTGGAGCAGAGTGAGAAGCAGTTGCGAGAGAGGGAGGCTCATAATGAAAATGAGATAAAGAAACTCCATCAACAGAAAGAAATGGTACATATAATTCAAGGTCAAATGTTATTATGTGATGCATGCCCTATGTTACAAATTCTCACCTTGTTGCTTTCAGAACAAGAGAGCAATCTTGGAGCAGAGGAATGCAGATGAACAATTGTTCAACTTGGCACAAGAACATCAGGTTCGTGGGGTTTCCCCCATTTATTTGCAACAGAAAGCACAATTAACTCTTATATTAATGGATGAGCACTAATGACAGAGGGCCAAGGAGGCTTTGCACAAGAAAGTTATCGAGTTGCAAACCCAACTTGATGCTAAACAAGCGCTGGAGCTAGAGATTGAACAGAGGAAAGGTGCATTACAGGTTCTGGAACACTTGGAAGAAGGTGAAAGCCCTGAAATCCGTGAGATGAAGGAAAAGCTGGAGGAGAAGGAAGACGAGCTGGAATACTTGTTTGCCCTGAATCAAACTCTTATGACCAAGAACGAAAAGGTTGAGCAAGAACTTGGGGCAGGTCGCAAGGAGTTGATCAACGTAAGTCTTTTATCTCGTGTGATGTTATGTCTGGAACTTTAGCAATTTAGTACCAACAAGAAGCTAACCATTACTGTAAACACCCTGCTGCTGTGCTATCATATAATGTAGTTACATGGGTCACGGCATTAACTGTAGAGTAATCATACACGTATTATGATGGCAGGGGTTTCAGGGCATGGTAGCTGCTGGAAGAGCGACCATTGGTCTCAGGAAAGCGCTGAGAGGGAAGAGCAAGTTGTCAACGGAAGAAGCAGAGCTCTGGCACTTGAAGGAGGACAGAGAGGCAACAGTGGTGGAGGGAGTTGAGTACATCTTGAGAATCTGGAAGCGGCTTAAATAGGAAAGGAAGATCTGGCACTGGCAGAGCATATAGGAACTATAGAAAGTAATGGCTTCGAGGAATCAATACAGGTGGTAAGTAACTAGTTAGACGTAATCCATTTTGAATCAATACAGGTGGAATGGAATATCCATATACAGGATATAGGAACTACAGAAAGTAATGGGTTCTAGGATCCTTGCTCGAACGTTTTTTGGTTTCAGACTTGACAGGGTTATGACTTATGAGAAGCAAACTCTATGAGAATTGACAAGGTTATGAGAAAGCAAACTCTGCTGGTAGTGTGGCTACTATTTAGGGGTCGTTTGGAGAACAAGATTTGGATCGTGGATTTATTGAATCCATAGATTTAGCAAAATGTTATGTTTTTTTGCTACTTTTTGTATCGTGGATTGTAACTTTAGAGATTGTAAATCCATAAAATCTAGAGATATCCAATCTCTCATAATTAGAGAGATTCTACATCTTGATTTTGGAGATTTTCTCCCTCCTATTATATCTCTTGTTTTTTTTTTCATTTATCCCATTAAATACCCTTACCAATAAATTCTCAATATTTTTCGAGCCAATCTAATTATTTTGGTTAAGGATAAACATGTTATGTGATTAAAAAAATAGAATTTCTTTTTTCATTGGATGTTAACAATCATAGTTACCAAACAATGAACATTTTCAAATCTTTTTTCAACAATCCAGAGAGTTAAAATCTTTGGATTGTCTAGAATCTAGAGATTTAGACTCCAATTCTCCAAACGAGCCCTTAGTATTTACTATTTACTTAAACATGGAACAGAATTGAGTTGCAGTGTTGGACTGTATTCTGGACTAAGATATTTGTTGATGAATCATGTTTCTAGTTTTATCTCTCGGGGCTCCCTGATTAATGATTATTTTGCTTCTCTACAAGTATTTCAAGTTTTAGTTTGATTGAGGAAGATTTTGATAGTCAGAAGACTGTCCATTTGCTATGGACTTTTAGTACAAGTGTCATCTTTTTTTAAAAAATCTACTTGATAGTTGGATATTGTTTTTTTACTAGTTAGCGCTTAATTGATAATCGATAATTTTTTAGTGATTCGGTTTTGAATATTTGTATTTGTTTTTTTTAAGAATGTATTTTGCTCAATAGATAGCTTATTAGTTGGCAGGTGGTCGCCTTGATCTCTGTTCGTTTTTTATAATAATACGGAAACTAATTCAACGAAAAAAATTAAATTAGCGATAACTACTTATTAGTATAACCACAAAATTTTAGGCTTTGACTAAGGGAAAAAGTTCCAATATTCAAAATTAACCAAAGTCTCATGTGAAAAATGTAGTTAAGTTGTTTGAATTATATATCTGATTATATGTCAACTTATAAACTAATTAGTTTACATTTCCCTTGATAGTGAATGGTGTACATCATATAAAAATGGAACTCTAAATTTGAAGAATTGATTAGAATACCTAGGGTTAAATGATCTCTTTCGATGTCACATAATTCAAATCTATAAATTAAGACATGGAACCCTAAAAAAATTATATTAAAACATGTCGTGCTCAGATTGCATGTTGCACTCTAAACTTGTTGAACTAAATTTTTTCATCTTGATTGCAATGCATTGCTTTGCTGCACTCTAAGGTGGTTGAACTGAATTCTTTCATCTTGTTTGAGATGTGCACTAAAAAGAACAAGTGTTGTTTAGATCGTGTTCATCAAGAGAGAATTATTTTTTAGATTTTTGAAGATGATCCATTTGTGAATATGGAATATAATGAGATACAAATAGCTTATTTATTATGAAGATGAACTATCATCAACCGCATGCTAAACATTAGTTTATGTTTTTTATATCTTAAATCACTTGTTTCATCGAGAACAAGAAGAGATACAAAGTCGACAAATGGAAAACAAGCAAAACCAAAAGTCAAAACATAACAGAACAACAAGAGAGAAAAATCGATTTTTCTAGCAACCCAATTACTTGAATGACCAATAAACTTCATTGGAAGAAAAAAAAGAAAGGAAATGCGGTCATTTACGAAAAGATATGGCCCAAATCAAGTTTGTCAATCAACGGTTGCCCATCTCGAGAATTCCATCAAAAGCCGCACGTAGGAATATAATTGGTTCACGTCAAAACACAAGGTATCGCTTAATAACTCGAAAGAAAACTTATACAAACCACAAATTTTCCTTATTTGATTGTGCTACTTTTTCTAAATAAGTTCAACTAAATAGATGTAACTCTCTACTAAAGAAATGAACTTGATATGATAAAGCAAGGGTACATACACCAACTTTATTTTTTTTGGAAGAACAAAACCCACTGAGACTTTAGTTGAAGAACATTTATGATTTTCCATGTGATATTTTCCATAAATGTCAAATCCAGTTGGGGTACACTTCTATCATATCTTTATGTAACCTTTCTCTTGAACATTCCCTAAAATGGTGTTCTAGACTACTACAGAGTACACAGTCTTGCCCTTGGACCCCTAGTCCATTGAAGTTTTGGTCTTTTTCCACAGACCTGACGCCTGAAGGCACGTCTCTCTGCAAATAGGGAAAGGCCGTTGTGCAGAGTGCTTCTTTTCCCACCATATTTTGCTTCTCACTGTCCTGACTTTCTTCTCAACTCAAGTCCGACCTAAAGCAAGAACGAGCTGCGACCTCTCTCTCTCGCGGGTCCAAAGAAACCCTTCGAAGAAGAGAAAGGGGAAAGGTCCTGTTGATCACTCCAGAGAGGTTTTTGAAATTCAGAACCGCATTCCTGGTAAGTCCGCTTCCGCCATTCTCTCTCTTCTTCTGCAATGACTCCTGCCCATTTCTCTGCTTCGATCTTCTGCCTGATTCTGGGATACTTGTTCGCAGATTTTCAAGGCCTGCTGGAGGTCAAAGCTTGCCGAGTTTAATTTGTGTTCAGAGTCGTATTGTTCCGGGAAATGCACTGCAGATTGAGGTATAGCATTTTCTTTTTCTTTCTGGCGTTACCCTAATTTTTTGCATTAGGTTAGTGGTATCATGCCCTCGATGTGTATCTCCGACTTGCTAGTTCAACTTTGGTGTATGTGACTTCCACCTGTCCTGCAAATCTGGACTTCCTCCCTTGAAAAAAATAGAAACCCTCTTAGTCTTGCTCATGTTTCTGCATTGCTGAGGCTGAATTTTGTTTCTTGTCCAGAGGAAGGAATGATCACATGTCTCAACAATTCGAGTTATTGGTATGAATTAGTTATTAACATGGTGTCCGTCGCTACCTTAGCTGTGGATTAAGCACAGGGTACAGTGGATTTGATCACAAACTTTAGGCACTTGACTTGGCTTTTGTTTAAGAAAGCATGTAAAGGAATTACGTAGAATAGGTTTTGGACCTTACTGTACAACTACTCACGTTATTGGGATGACTTGTCACATGATTGTCTTTGAGAATAGCATTAACTTGTTTGTGTAATTCCTTTTCCATGTGCAGGATTTCAACAGTGCCGATCTTCTTGTATTGTCAACCTTTTCCTGTTTGAAGAAAACAATCTCCTCCAATTTGTCTCTTTCAGCCATCTGAGCTACGGTATGTGCACCAGAATTCTTAACCACTTCTCATTCTTTATAATCCATCAATGAAGAGGAAAATCATAATGACTTCTGTTAGTGTACGACTCCAACTCTAGAGCAGTACTATTCAGTCTGTGTTGGATGTCTGCTGTATGTAGATGCAAGTTACAGAATATCTTTTGTGGTTATATCGGTTATCCAAAAGGGTTTTAGCCCCTTTGCTACCATGTAAACATAAGCTTAGACTTAGGACTTAAATCACCGTATCATGCCACGACCAATGTGTTGGCGCTTTACGGCATATGAATGAAGAGTAGAAGCCATTCTTAATAAGAAAAAGTGACTGCCTTAGAAATATAGTTTACAATCTAAAGAAGTAAGCAACGAAAGGCTAGCTAATTATCATATAATTTCGAAATCAGCGTCTTTCTGTTTGACTTGCTGCCATATCATTGGTTCTTTTAGTTGTTTAAACTGTCTCTACTCTGTAATATTATAGTGGTTCGTACTCTTTTTCTATCATATTCTTCAACTTCTTTGGACTTCCAACTATTATTTTTTAAATGCTTAAACTACTAATTTATTTTAATAATCTCCTTTCACCTTTCCCCAGGGTTTCACCTCTGCTTATCAACGCTGTTGCTATCCTTACTCATGTGGCAATATGTTTTAGGGAGAAACTTTTATGGTTTCTTTATTCACTCGCGTGCAATAAATTTCTCTGCACATTCTATATACAATACCTGGTTTAGCATGTCTTAAAGTCCAAGCCGTAACCATTTCCATAGTTATAGGTCGATCGCAGAGGAGAAAAGAAACAGAATCATGCTTTCATATGGTTGAAACTCATCTGTTCACTGATCTCTATGCATTGAACAGTGGTCAGATAAAAGTATTACCTACTCATTGCACTACATACTGCAGATTAAATGTAAATTGCGTGAGTTGAATGCTTATGTGCCCTATTTCTACAGAGGCAGAGGATGCTAACTTTTTGGCTAATTGTTGTGCATCTCATTGGTTCTTGTGATTTAAATTCTTGAAATGACATTGTTTTCTGTTGCACACAGGTCAGGAATGTCGCACCACATAGGAAAAGACAGTTGTGATTCTGAGTTGAAAGAGTTGGAGGATAAGTACTATAGAAGACTGAAACGTGGAGAATATAAAACTAAAAGATCCGATTCAAATTATAGGTGTCCTTTCTGTTCCGGGAGGCGAGATTATGGTTTTAGGGAGCTTCTCAGACATGCTGATCGTGTTGGCAGAGAATCTCAGAACAGGGATCTAAGGGAGAAAGCTCAACATCTTGCTTTGTCGAACTATGTGGATAAGTACCTTAGGCCAAAGCGTGTTTCACATTCTAGCAAACATGACTCCCACCGTCCATTGATGAGTGATGATCAGGGTAGAGAAAGGACTCCACATCCTGCTTTACCAAACTCCGGGGATAAGTACCTTTTGCCAAAGCATGTTTCAGATTCTTCAAGCAAACCTGACTCCCACCCTCCATTGAGTGATGATCAGGGTAGAGAGGAAGTTCGACAGCTTGCTTCTCCAAATGATGAGGATAAAGCTGCTAAGCGAAAGTATGTTTCGGATTCTGCAAGCAAATGTGAATCCGGACCTGCATTCCGTGATCATCAGGATAGAGAGAGACTTCATCCTCCGGGTTCACCTAACTTTGTGGATAAGTACGCTAGGCCTAAGCATGTTTCAGATTCTTCAAGCAAACCTGACACCCACCCTCCATCGAGTGATGATCAGGGTAGAGAGAAAGTTCAACATCTTGCTCCGGCAAACTATGGGGATAAAATCTCTAAGCCAAATCATGTTTCAGATTCTGCAGGTAAAGCTGACTTCCGCCCTCCATTGAAGGATGATCAGGGTAGATTTGTTTGGCCATGCATGGGCATTGTCGCAAACATCCCAACTGAGGTAAAAGATGGGCGGCGAGTTGGAGAAAGTGGCTCGAAACTCAGGGATGAATTGACTACAAAAGGGTACAATCCTATGAGGGTGCATCCGCTATGGAACCGTATGGGCCATTCAGGGTTTGCCATTGTCGAGTTCAGCAAAAATTGGGATGGCTACAAGAATGCTCTCATGTTTGAGAAGCATTTTGAGCTCGAAAGACGTGGATGGGCAGATTATCATGGTCGATTTCGGAATAGACGAGGAAATGAACTGTATGGATGGTTTGCACGAGATCGTGACTATTACTCCAGGGAAATTTATGCTAATTATCTCAAAGACAAGGGAGATTTAAGAAGTGTCTCCGATGTTACAGCAGAAAATGACAGGAAGGATTCAAAACTTTTTTCTTCCCTGAAAAACACATTGGAGGTCAAGCACGAGAACCTAAAGAAGATGGAGGAGAAGTATGAAGATACAAAACTGTCTATTGAGGATGTACTGAGTCAGAAGGAGTCTATGACTTCGCTGTACAATGAAGGTATATTCCTGGTTTTCTTTTATCTATGCTAAATGATTATTTACCCTTCCCTCTCTGCTTGACTTCCTTTTCCTAACTTGATCTTTAACAGCGATATCCAAGATGCAGCAGGATGTGCGTAATGATTTCCAAAAGATTTTACTGGAGCGAGAGAGAACAAAGCATGATTTGGAAGCTCAAAGAAGAGAACTGCACGAGCGGGAGAAGCATTTGCACGAGCGGGAGAAACATAATGAATATGAAATACAGAAACTGAAGCGGGAGAAAGAAATGGTATTCTACTGTCACCCTTTTGATGCTAGCCTTTACAGAGCCACCAATATTATGCGGCTTCTATACTTGCAAATTTACTTGCCCTCTCTTTTTCCTTCGTTCAAGAACGAGAAAGCAATCTTGGAGCAGAAGAAAGAAGAAGCTAAAGCGTTAAAATTGGCTCAGGAGCATCAGGTTCTATTTACTTTTATTCATTTCGTTTGAGCTGTACTTAAGGAATTGGCTACACGAACTTGTTCACGGATCCACAATCCACTAATGACAGAGGGAGAAAGAGAACCTGCACAAGAAAATTTTCGAGTTGGAAAGCCAACTGGATGCCACACAAGCAGTGGAGCTCGAGATAGAGCAGCTAAAGGGTGCATTGCTGGTTCTTGGACACATGGACGAAGACGATACCCCAGAAAGCCGCAAGAAGAAGGAAGAAATCAGAGAGAAGCTGGCGGAGAAGGAGGAAGAATTGGAAGACTTGGAGGATCTGAATCAAACTCTTATCATCAAGCACAAAAAAGTTGAACAAGAACTCGAGGAAGGCCGCAAGGAGTTGATCAATGTGAGTTCTCAATTCCCCTTTTAACCAACGTGAAGATAAAAAAAAAAAGTTGGGTGTTAGTTCAGTCCTGATCAGTCAGTATATTGATTGTACAACATTTGGTTGGTTGACAGGGGTTTTTGAGTTCCGGAACAAGTGGAAGAGCGAATATTGGCGCAAAGAGAAGTGGAGGTGCAAAGGCGAGTAGCAAGGGCAAGCGTGCCCTGTTGAATGAACCAGCAGAGCTTTGGCATTTCAAGGAGGATAGAGAGGCTGCGTTTACAGAGGGGATTGATTACATAATGAAAAGTTGGAAGCGGTTAAAATCGGCGAAGAGTAGTAATGCGTTTGTCTTTGGGTGAGATAGTTCAGTGTTGGGGAAGGCCATGTCAGGTTCAAATTACATTTTGATTCAAGCGGGCATGACGAAGAAACCTAGTAGAGAAGGGTTCTAATTACATTTTCTCCTTATCAAACAAGATCAGAACCACTATTTTGTAATCTCTATAAACAGAGGACTATATATAGATATACCTAAAACGATCTTTTTTTATAGATATTTTATTGACATTGAGAACTTTTGTTTGAAATTTGTAGTGAAATCGATTATCGTTTGAAGAGGTTATTGACCTTATCTAATAGCTTATCGTACTAGTTGTGAGTCTTGTAACATCTTAGGTTTGCAATGATGCTATGTTGAGTTAATTTCTTCATTTGTGCTTAATTTTCGCTTTGTTGCGTACTTTGATTACAGTATAATTTGAAGAGCAGGAGGAGTGTTGACCTATATCACCGCATCGAAATCAATGACTAGGGAAAGTTTTGTTTTTGCATATCAAGTCGGAAACTTTATGGGTTGATCTCACTCATTCCAAGTTATCCAAACTGGGCAACCTCACCGTGCAATGCAACAACAATCCATCAGAATCAGTGTGGGAAAAACGACCCAAATTGCAGAGCCCCACAACAACTTGAGATGGACGACATCAAGTCGTTAAAGAAGAGCACATGGACCATTTCACATCAATACCCCACTCCCCATGTGCAAGTTTTTGCCTTTCCCATATGCATTTTGGGGTCTGATGTGACGCGACCCATTTGGATGGACGAACATGGGGTATTAACTCACACACCATTGTCTTCTTCTTCTTCTTCCTCTCCTCCTCTTCACAAAAAATGGAAGTAACGTCCGTTGCCTACTTTTACACACAGGATGTTGGACATCTTCTTCTCTCTCTTGACGGTTTCACTCACCACGATCCTTTCGCCATCCGAGTAACGAACTCTCCGCGTTTCGGTTTGTCTGGTTGTAACTATTTCCAGCTTCTGCCCGTTGTGATAACGTCTATAATGTGCATATGGACAAGCTGCCTTTCTTCTTATCTTTATAGAACCCTAGCCATTAAGATGGACTACGCTTAATCATTCAATACTATCTCTTCCTTTTCCTTTTCTAGGCGTGACGAAACAACGGAGGGAAATCCGCCTACAGTGAGCCCAGGTCCGTCCATGTTCTCAATTAGCTGCCATCTTATCTTTTTCGCCTCCCCCTTTTGCTTACCCCAATTGCGTAGCCACACTACTGCACTGCACTGCACACACACATTTCACACTAACTAAAGTGTCCCGCGGCTGGCTAACCTACTCAAAAGGAAAATTCAATGTTTCATTTTTCAAATCGAAAGAAAGAGATGAAAATTGTTGATAAAAAAGAACAGATATAAAACACGGACACGGATTTACGTGGTATCCCTGGTGAATCCAGGACTAATCCACGAGAGAGCTTGAACACTCTTCGACGACTCGTTTTTCTTATCAGATTTGTTAAGCGCACAAAATGAACTATCATACCTACAAATAGCTAGTTCCAGCCAAACCCTCCACGATTTCAACATCTCCTAGTGGACTTATTATGGGTTGCATGGGCTTGAGACAAAGGGCCCACTACACTACACATATACGTAAGAATACAAGGCTGTGGATTAGCAATATATTCAACAGCCTCCCCAAAATTGATGCCGGTCAATCAGCATCAATTTGTTAGACAGAAAACGATGTCGGCCTGTTGAAAACGCTTTAGTGAACAAATCCGCAACCTGATCTTCAGTCCGAACATAGTGTAGAGCTAGGGACCCATCTCGCACTTCATCCCGAACATAATGCATATGTATCTCTATGTTTTTAGTTCTGTCGTGCAGTACTGGGTTCTCTGCTATCCAAATTGCTCTGGTATTATCAACATACAAATCCATAGGACCTGTACGATTCACGCCCATGTCAAACAAAAGTCTGCGCAACCATGTCAGCTCTGAAGTTACATCAGACATCGCCCTGTACTCGGCCTCTGTAGAAGATTTCGATACTTTATCCTGCTTTTTGCATCTCCAGGAAATGAATGCGTTTCCGAATTGAACGCACCAACCAGTGGTAGACCGCCTAGTATCAATGCACCCAGCATAATCTGAATCAGAGTAAGCTCTCAGAGTGGTCGTCCCTATAGCAAGAAATAACATTCCCAGCTCCTTCGTCCCCTGCAAGTACCGAAGTATACGGAACACAGTGGCCAAATGATCCACGCAAGGATCTCCCATGAATTGACTAACTAGCTGCACGACATATTAAATATCTGGCCGAGTCGCAGATAAGTAGATCAGACTCCCGACGATACTCCCATACTGTTTGCCATCTTTGACTTTCTCGCCCGAGTCCCTACCCAATTTGAGGTTGTACTCCATTGGAGTACTCACTGACGTGCAGTTTTCCATATTATAATCACTCAAAAGATCAGCTATATACTTTCTTTGACTGAGAAATATACCTACTTTGCTTCGAGTGACTTCGAGCCCCAGGAAATAAGACAACTCTCCCAAATCCCTGATCCGGAACCCGGCCTGCAACCCTTCCTTCAAGCTTCGGATCCCATCAAGCTTCGATCCTGTGATGATCATGTCATCCACATACAAGAACAACAGTACTATCCCCTGTGACGAGTTCTTAATGAACAGGGACGAATCATTTAAACTTTGACTGTAACCAAGTTTCAGCAGAGTAGACTGAAATTTTTCAAACCATGCACGCGGAGCTTGCTTTAACCCATAAAGAGAACGTTTCAATCGGCATACATGCTGGTTTCCCAACATGATATCCCGGAGGTTTTCCATGTAGATAACTTCATCAAGATTCCCATGGAAGAACACGTTCTTCACATCCAGCTGAGCAAGAGACCAGTTCTTCAACGAGGCAACCGCAAGAAGAGCTCTAACAATAGACATACGTGCCACAGGAGCAAAGGTCTCATTATAGTCCACCCCATACTCCTGTGTATAACCCAAATCAACGACACGCGCCTTATGCCGTTCAATGGTACCATCTGGAAAAGTCTTAATATTATAAACCCAACGACTACCGATCGTTGGAGTATCAGGAGCAGGCGATCAACCACATCCCACGTATCATTTGCATGAAGAGCATAAAATTCACTCCCCATCGCTGCCTCCCACACCAGATCTCCTTGAGCATCTTTGTAACAAGTGGGAACTATATAACCATTAACTCCATGAGCAACAAAGACATGGAAGTGAGCAGGTGGCACCCCCTTAGTAGACCGAAGGGATCTGCGAGGCTGAACAAGGGTGGTGTGCAAACTTGAAGTAGATAAAGTGGGAGGAGTACCACCAGTGGATGGCGACGAGCTGCTATTGCTTGTAGAAAGAGGAGAAGTTGGCCCTGGGGAGTCAAAATCGTCAGGGTTAGGTGAAGCATCATAGTCATCAGCAGGCTCTTCATCCGTGAACATGGGCAGGGAACCATATAATGGGAAAACGGATTCTGAAGAAGACGAGGACTAAAAAAACCAAAGATGTTCAAAAAATACCACAGTGCTTGCCACACGAATGCGTTGAGTAACAGGATCGTAGCACAAGTATCCTTTATGAACATCGCTATATCCCATGAACGCACATTTGGCAGTTTTCAAAGTTAATTTTGTACGTTCACGACGAGGCAGCAACACAAAGCAAAGACACCCGAAAACACGGAGACGCGAATAATCTGGAGGACGAGAGTAGAGTTTGAAAAAAGGACTCTCATTACCTAAAACTGGAGTAAGCTGATAGTTGATCAACCTTACTGCAGTAACCATGACTTCTGGCCAAAAATGACCAGGTACCGCAGAAGCCAACAGCAAGGCTCTAGTGAGCTCTACGACATGACGATTTTTCCTCTCAACAAGACCATTATGTTGAGAGACACCAGGGAACGATTTTTGACACAAAATTCCACAGGAACAATAAACCCCGTGGAGAGGAAAAGAACTAAATTCTCCACCTGGATCGGAGCGAATGATTTTCACGTTTTTGACAAAATGAGTTTGTATCATATTGAGAAATTCAATGGCCACAGAACACAAATCGGATTTTAAATGAAGAAGATGTGTATCGGGTGGCATGAACAATAAAAAGAGCAAAATATCGAAAACCATGTCGAGAAATAATGGGTGCTGGTCCCCAAAGATCTGTATGAATCAAATGAAACGGTTCCTGAATCACAGTGGTACTCAAAGGATAAGAGTTACTGACAGTTTTAGCTTCAACACAGCTGGTACAAGAATGAAACTCCGGAATACTAACACTGGTAGTTCCAAGTAAAGATTTTTTGAACAAATCAGAAAGACGAGCAGAGTGGGGATGCCCTAAAAGATCATGCAAAAGATCCCACTGCTTATTTGAAAGACTCAAAACAGACAAACAGGAACTTGATAACAGAGATAACGACAGACTACTGACAGACCAAGACTGTGATGCACGAACACCAGAAGTAACGGATTGCCCATGTAGTTCATCCAGACAAGAGAGCCGACCTTGCTTACCCCCCCTTCCGATCTGCCTCACCGTCTTCGAATCCTGTATAAAACAACCATTCGGAGCAAACAAAACAGTACATCCTTGCTCAGTAAGTTGACCAACAGAAACCAGATTGGGTACGAGTTCAGGAACAAACAAAGCATTTTGCAAAAACATCCTCGTATCTTTAACATCACCCATTCCCTGGACTTGCAATTCCGATCCATTAGCTACAGTCAACTCAACATCATGCACAGGAGTAACCTTTTTAAACACATTAGAGTCACTGGTCATGTGATTGTAACATGTTGCATCGAGCAACCAAGGAGTTCGAAATTTACCCGTTCCATGAAGTGTGGCAAAGGCCGCGCTAATGGCGGCACTGACAATTTGTTCAACTGTTTGGACGGTCACCCCACCAGCTGAGGAGCTTGCCTCACCATTTGCGCCAGCTAAAGCCTCTTTGCTACCACTTGTGTCACCAGGAGCAAGACCATTTGCATTTGGTGGATACCAACGTGTGGTATCACTAGTCACCGGTCGCCAACGTTGAGCATCTAATCCATGAAATGCTCCATAAGCATACCTATCTCCATATCGTGATTGAGGTGCATTCCCCTCATGATTATACGGTGCACCACGGCCAGCAGGCTGCCCACCTTCACGCGTTGCGTTCCGCTCCCTCGTACGGCAATCAAGAATTATATGCACCATCCGCTTGCAATAAACACATAAATTGCGGCGGCGACAATGCTTTTGCACATGACCCTTTTCTTGACAATGATGGCACTCCAAATCTGTAGTAGGAACCCTCCGATGAAATTGGGGTCGATCGACAGCAAATGCAGGTGAGTCATGATAGATACCATGTGAATGATGTGCGGCATCAGCGGCCACGAGGGACTCACCCTCTCCTGGGCGAAGATCAATTGCCACTTGTGTACGGAGACGTGTTTCCTCCCTCGTGAGTGTTCCCAGCACACCATCAAATTGCAACATGTCGCGGTTCAATAGAGTTGCACGTACGACCTCAAATTCAGGTCTTAATTTTATCAAAAAATTAAGGAGTCGTGTCTGCATCCGCTCGGCAATGGCGTCTTCAGTGAGAATAGCTTGCGGACAAAGAGCAGCATGAAGAAGGTCCTGTTCCGTCGATAGTTCCTGGGCATCACTGAAGTATTCCCAAACACTACGATCTCCCTGTTCCAGCCGGGTCAAAGCGAGCTGGATTTCAAATTGACGGGCTGCATTAACTGTAGAATACATTACCGAGAGATGGCACCACATCCGATTTGCAGTAGGATACAATCTGAGACCGAGACAGGTGGATGGATCAACGGATCTGAGAAGCCATGATCGTACGTGCGCATCGTTTTGATTCCAGGTGGCGACGGCTTGAGGTGTGGCGGCAGCCCCTTCTGGTTTGGTACTCGTGCAATCAAGAATCCCTAGCAAACCTTTTCCTTTCACAAAAACTCTGAACTGAAATTCCCAAAGAGCGTAATTAGTCGAGCTCAAACGAACAGACGAACAATCAGACTCAGTTATCGTAGGCTCTGATACCATGTTGATAAAACAGAACTGAAAACGTAATCAAATATAAAACACAGACACGGATTTACGTGGTATCCCTGGTGAATCCAGGACTAATCCACGGAAGAGCTTGAACACTCTTCGACTACTCATTTTACTGATCGGATTTGTTAAGCGTACAAAATGAACTATCATACCTACAAATAGCTAGTTCCAGCCAAACCCTAGCTCCACGATTTCAACATCTCCTACGTGGACTTATTATGGGCTGCATGGGCATGAGACAAAGGGCCTACTACACTACACATATACATAAAAATACAAGGTTGCGGATTAGCAATATATTCAACAAAAATATTGTGGTTTGTTTTGTTCTATCCCGTGCTCGACTCCATCTGATACGCAACATCAAGAATCCCTTCCCATATGTTGTTTCAATTTTCGAACAAGTTGCTTGTATCCAAAAATTTAGTTTAAATTGATGGTTTAATGATTCAGCTGAAACGTGCGCTTACATCAGAACAATCTTTCTATTCGTTTATATTTGACAAGAATTATAATATATATTTCTTCCTCCAATAAAACCGACTGAAATACATTATCTTTTCACAT